TGTTCCGCAACGTATGACCAGATAAAAGTCCTGGTGAATCAAATGGTGTCCGCAGGATATGATGTAAGGAACACCTGCGATCCTATGTGGTGTGAGACATCCTGGCTAAGTTCCCTCGTGAGATAGTAAAACCTGTCCTCATAGCTAGCCAGGGCACATCTAATCAGCCCATTAAGGACCTCTTAGGTCATCTCAAAAAAGAGATAACCGCCAAGTGCTACGTCGACAATAGACTGAGCCATGGAGTAGAGCGTAAACAGGGCTATGGCAATGGCAGCGCAATGCACTCGCTGGGCCAACGGCATAACACCCGACCCCAGTCCGCCGAAGAATGCCTATTTTGCCATAGGGGCAATCATAACTCAGCGGCTTGCCGAACGGTCACAGACCCGAGTACCCGCCGTAAAACAGTGAGGGAAGGAAACCGCTGTTGGAAATGTTTCTCAGCGAAACACAACAGTTTTGACTGCCAGAAAGCAGACTGTCCCAGGTGCGGCCAAAAACACCACCTTTCCTTATGCAATAAAAATGAGCAGAATATATCAACGGGACAGAATAACTCGCATAATCCAAATAACAGACCAAACAATAGATATGCTAGGGAGCAAAACAGCACACGAAATAATAATAATAATAATCAGAATAATCGAGGACAACAACCTCTTAGACCTCAGCGCAATCAAAATGCGAACCATAATGGTGGTCCACAAAACAATAACTTTTATCAGGACCAAAGAAACTTTTCCAATAACACCCACATGAAGGCAGAGAATCAAAATGTAGACCAAATATCCTCCCAGCTAGTCCTCATGACAGCTGAAGGAAATCTTTGGAATTTCAAAGAGCAGAGGTATGAGAAAGTTTTATTCTTCTTTGACTCTGGCGCTCAAAGACCATAATAGAAGAAAAGGTAGCAGATCAGTTCGGCCTTCCCAAATGGACAACTGAAATCTGCACCATGTCCGGCATTGGGGGCCACATCGAAAACTTCGAAAGTCACATAGTGACAGCCAAGATAAGTAGTGGGTTCGGGGAGCCCCTGCAGCTAAAAATCCAAACAAAGCCGGTACTAACCAACGGCTTCCCCAGTGTTAGGCTCACCAATACAGATGTTGATTTTCTCAAAGAAAACAACATCTGGTTGGCAAACTCGAGGCTCCGTGGGGAGCTACAAACCCCACATGTTTTAGTAGGTCTGGACTATTACCACGAGTTGGTATCTGGCCAAGATTATACAGTGACTACACCCTCGGGCTACATGGCACGTACAATATTTGGCCCAACGGTTTATGGTAAGGGTCTGATCACTGCAGAGAAAATCTCCAGCAGCGCTTACCACGCTATAACGGCCCTCTACGAACACAGTGAGCAAAAAATGCTAGCAAGATGTTCGAGTTAGAGGGACTAGGGATATCAGAAGAAGAGTGTCACAGCGATGACAAAACTCACAAGTACTTGGAACAATATTCCAAGAAAATTTCTTTCGCAAATGGGTTCATAACAGCACCATTCCCTTGAAAGGAAAATGTTGCTCTTCTTCGAAGACAACTACGGCGTCGCAATTAGACGCCTTGAATCCTTGCAAAAAGCGTTGCAGCAGTCTCCTGAGCAACGCCAATGGTATTCACAAATTGTGGAAAAATATTTGGAAGAGGGTACGATTGAGAGTTTCTCCGACCCTGAACCTGACGCTGTGGGGACGTATTACATGCCCCACTCAGGGGTTTGGAAGCCCCACAAAAAAGTACCGCTAAGGATCGTGTTCGACGCGTCCTCAAAACGAAAGAATAAGCTCGCCCTCTGACGTCATCCACAAAGGGGAGTCGTTCATTAACAAAATACACGACATATTAATTTCATCGCGCACAGGGAGTATACTACTAACGTGCGACATCGAAGCTGCTTTCACGCAGATTCGCCTAATCAACTCGCACAAAGACCTGTGCAGGTTTCTGTGGATTCAAAAATGTCCACCTACCCTCCCACCAGGGACAATATTATTCAGTACCGTTTCCGAAGATTACCATTCGGAGTAACGGCTTCTCCTAGCATTTTAAATATGGCACTAGCCTCCTACCTCTCTAACCAGACTTCCTCCTTGGCTAGAGAAATTGCGTGGATAATATTATGATGACATACAGACACAGACAGACACACGTGGATAATATTATGATGACTGCAGCCACTGTTGAAGAGGCACTTTAAAATATAATGCAGTCGAAGGAGTTGTTCGCTAGAATCGGCATGAACCTCCGAGAATATATATCCAATTCTTCTCAAGTTAACGAACAGATCCCAACGAAAGACAGGTTGGAATCTGATTGCCTAAAAATACTAGGCGTCCAATACAGCATAGCGCACGACGCTTTCCAAGTCAAAACAGACTTCCCCCTTTTGGACAAACTAACAAAGAAAGACATAGTAAGTCAAATCAATTCAATTTACGATCCAATAGGACTGGCAGGTCCCCTGCTGGTCCATCTAAAATCAATGATGAGGGAAGTTTTTGAGTCGATTGGAAAACCCATCTCGACCCCGCACTGTGTTATAGATGGAATCGATTGTGCGGAGAGGTTAACAATGCGACCATTACTGTGCCGCGACC